GAACAATGTTCTTCACAAACAGCAGGCCTGAGGGTTGCAGGCCCAAGGGCTCAACCAGCCCACAGGTGATTGTTGACCAATCAGCTTACACATGATTGTTAATGAAAAGAGAAAAAAAAAAAGGCCCAAGGAGAACCTACCCTCAAGGATCCAACTGTTTCATACATAAGCCTCCTAACTGGAGACTTAGTCAGGGCCCAATCAACTTTTTAAATACAGAGGCCCACCCACCAGGCTCTTTCTAGCCCAGAGCTGATTGTTGACTACATCCAGGCAACCAATCAGGTTACACACAATTTCCTAATACTCAGGACTTAGTTCTTTAAGGTACTAATTTATTTTTCTATTGTACCTCAAATGCCTAGAATACTCTATGGCCCATAGTAATAAGAAAGGTAAAAAACTGGAAGAATCAAAGTAGATATTAAAAAAAAAAGATTGAGGAGGAAGACAAGAAGCTGCACTGCAATCCCAGAGGCGTATGGTTCAAATCCACCAGATGCTCTGCTGGGAAAGGAGGTTAAATCTCCTCCTGTACCAGTCAGATCTGATTTGATGGTACACAGACACACAAAATTAAAAAAAAAAAAAAAAAAGAAGCAAGTAGATTTGCCAATTTTATCCCATTAGCATTCTTTGAGTTGGCAATTTCGGAAGAGCAGAAATAGTATAAAGCAGATTACAACTGGCTAATGCGGAAACAGGAAGTTGAAATGGAAAGGGCAAGTGGAAGGAAAAGTAGGAAATATCTTAAGGATGAGAAAAGGTAGAATAAAGTGTATATTTGAATATGTCTTGGTTTTCAAGTGGATAAAAAGAATTAATAGAAAAGTAAGTTTTGACAATAAAAAGAACATTTTTGCAAGAAATGGTATATAAAGGCACAATTTTTTTCTTGTGTATACTGTCGAATCAAATCTGACTAGCACAAGAGGAGAGACTGCCCCTCACTCTCCAGTGGAGCATCTGGGAGATTTGAACCACACACCTTCAGGATTACAGCACAGCTTCCAACCACCAGGCCACTGGAGCTCCAAGCCACAATTTTTTAAAAAAATAAAAATATCTCACACAATTACTGTGCAGTATCTATTACTCATTTAAATATAGTATTGGTTTATTTTCAGATATGGAAATAAGAGATTATTTAAGGTTATCTGTAGAATTCTTTTAAGTTCATTCCACAAAATAATTACCAAAGTTTTACATACCTTTCTTGTTCTTAGAAGGTATGCAGTGAAGTTTTTTTGAATAGTGACACAGCCTACTCTTTCGGAATTATCTTCACAATTACTTGCTATGCTTCAGAGATCTGGACAATGACCAAGAATGACAGAAGAATTTTTGATTCCTTTGAGTTGTGGTGCTGGAGAAGAGTATTTAACATACCATGGACTGCCAACAGAACTGACGAGCTGCTCCTTGGAGGCAAGGTTTTTGAGACTGTCTCACACACTTTGGACATGTAGCCAGGAGGGACCAGTCTTTGGAGTGGGATATCATGCTTGGAAGATTTAAGGGAAAGCACAAAACAGGAAGACCCTAGATAAGACGTCTGACACAGTAACCGGGGTAGGTGTGTCCAATGGCTGAAAGGGCATTGCATTTCCAAGGCTGTAAATAGCTTGAAAGGAGAATGCCCATCAGTCTCCCAAGGAGCCACTGGTGGATTTGAACCACCAGAGGCAATGGATTTGAACCGCCAGAGGCAATGCCTTTGGTTTAGCAGCACAACTCCCTACAGATACTGCCACCTACACCTACTCAAAAACAAAGATGCAAAGATAAGGGGGACAAGGAAACTAGAGGTAAAAGAAACTAGAGGGTCAAGGAACAAACCCAACATAATTAAAGAGAATGTTAACACACTGTAATAAATATAACTAATATCACTAAATATATAGAAAGCTAATTTGCTGTTAACTGTCACTAAAAACTCAAAATGTTTTGTTAATTTTTTTCCTCTGTCAATTATCACACAGGTAAATGACTTTCTGCTTAGCAGTTAAAAAAAATCTAAAAATAAAGAAGCTGGGCAAAAACTGTTATAGCATTGTTCAAGCAATAGTAAAAATTTAGAAGATGAATGCTTACAAAAATATATTCTAATATTCCTAATATCAGTATTACCTACTCATTAGAATATTACCTTTAAAAAAGGAGTATACATAATGTAAAACCTAGTCTGATGACTCCAGAACTAAAATAGAAATAAAAATCTTAAGCATTCTGATTCATCTCTAATTAAGGGATCAACCAAATATTAGTTATGATTTTGCTGTGGTAAGTATATGAAGAAAGGGAGGGGATCACAAAAAAAAAATCTGAAGGTCAATTCTATTAAAAAATTTCATCCCTTTTCAGTTACACAAATGGTTTACTGATGGTAGGTAGCTTTAACCAAAGGAATGGTTAATTACAACACACTTGGGGATAAGCAAAAACTAAGACTTTTTAAGAATGAGATCAAACACATTGTACAGAACTGTTAAAAAGTAGCAATAGCTAACAGACAAGACACTTTTTCTTTCCATTTGTCTGGGCAAATCTGTGCTCTCCAAGCAGAAATATTCAGAGTCCTTTCAAAACTGAATGAGCCTCTAAAATGGTAAACGCCACTGTTTTCTTAGTTCTCTATCCCAATTCAAAAGCCAAACAACTCAGTAAAATAACCTCTGAGACTAAAAAGGATCTTTTGTCTAGTAGAGACACGGCAGAATACTCCAAAACTCTGGGAATATATGGGTCATAGTATTATAGGATACAAGATAACATGCCATATCTAATCAGAATCTGAGACCCAGAGGAAAAATGACAAATCAGATTTCAGTTCTAATACACTCAGAATTTCTCTCCAAACTATGTCCAGTTTCTCCCCATTAATTCAGATTTGTAAAAAAAAAAAAAAAAATCATGTTGTTCTTTTATACCACAGTCAGAGTCAACTCATAGGTAAACATTTTCAGAGGCAGTAAATCATACAAAGGAGATTGCCCAACTATCTCCCAAAAAGTAGCTGGTGGATTCGAACTGTGTACCTTTGGGATGGCAGAGTAACTCTTTACCATTAAGCCACCAGAGCTTTCAAAAAGGGAATCAATCAGTTACCAAAAGAGAGGTTTGAGGTTTGAAGTTATCCAGAGGTAATAGAAGACCTGAAAGAAGATCTTGGTGATTTTGAAATCCCTATGGAGCACTGATCTAGTATGAAGGACCATAAGTCAAAATGAACTCAATGGCAACTGGTTTGGTTTTAAAATACATGTAAGGGGCGTTCAAGGCAACTATATATATGTAAAACCATGACTCTCTAAAAAGTTTTTAAATTATGTACTTGAAATGATCATCACCAATATCACAGCTGTTGTTAAAACACGAGTTATTCATTAAGCTGGCTCATTAGTTAAAACATATTTTATTAGTTGAAACTATAGACAACTCAGTAAAGTACAAACCACTTGATATCAATCAATCCACAGACTATGTCAAGGGCCTAAAATGTACATAGTATTCTTGAGTCAAAGGCCCTCCCTCCCCTCCCTGCCTCTGTAAGCTTATAGTTTAGTGGTAAGACAACATCTAAAGGTGTATGTGACTATGTACTAAAATTAAACAGCACAGACAATATAGTAGTTAAATGTTCTGACAAAGGAAATACTGATTGCTGTGGTCAGAGAGGAACTTTAAAGAGGAGGAAGATGAGTAGAGCAGTGAAGAATGGCAGGACTCTGAAAGGTGGGGAGGAGGATCCTGAGAGCAGCTTTTAGTCTATGAAATATGTTCACATTCATAGGGAATATGACGCCAAAAGTAACCTCAATTTACAGGCAGTGAAAAATTGAGAAGGCGGCTGCTTGGCCAGTTAATACAACAAACAACGAAATCTGGGTGTGGAATTCATGTCTTCTGTCTTCCAAGGCAGGCAGCCTAGGCTAGTGAAGACAAGAATTAGGAAAGCAACTCAACCATAGCAAGGGGGCATGGAAAGATGGATTTGGCCAGAGCAGTGAGGAAAGTCAAGGTAGAGTTTGAATATTCCTGCCCCCCTTTTCCCTGCTTTCTGACAGTAGTTTTAGGACTACACTTTTCTCAGAGAGAAATGAAGACTACCTAGGTGAGAAGGGTATGAGTGTCAATGAGAAAACAGAACAATCCAAAATAAGATCTGTCTTAAACGAAGAAAACAAAAATCGTATTGTCTCCCTACTCTTTAAGAAATGTTTCAGGGAGAAAATTCCAACTCCAAGAAATCTCAAAAATTATCAGTTGAAAACCTAAAAGATCAAATAATTTACCAATAAACTCCTATTTCCAGAGATTTCAACACAATTATACCTTAAAATAGAGATCATCAACGTTGTAGGAATCACAAAGTTTACAGATTTCAGCATCTTCTATATACAAAGTACCGTGCGGGACTCACGGAGTACTATGCATTTTACTCAGATTTCCAAAGATTTCTGACACTTCCATTCAGAAAAGTTTCTTTTGGTGAACTCAAGGTCGACTTATTTCCACATACATAAAAGTCTTAAAGCCTGCTCACCGCACAGGACTTTTTCAAAAAACGAGGGCTGAATAAGCATTTGCTCAAGAAATGCTACTAAAAAGTACTGTTCAAGTACAATTATATTACAGGCAACTCTAACGAGTCTGTCTTCAAACCAAGTTCTCACAATTATGGATACAAGTCTAGATATAACCCAAACACATACACCTTCATAATCTTCAGCCGGGGCCTAATGTAAAGTCCTCCCGATAATGTTTTTTCCCCAAGCAGTGTCAAGGTGCCGCATCTCCAGGATGACAACAGCTCCGGAGCCCTGGCACGCTCCTCTCCCTCAGCCCGGCTCGGAGTGGCGGCGCTCCCGGAGTCCAGAAGTTTCAAAGGGGCTCGCCGGGGCGCCACGGGGACGGGTTCTGGGGGAGCGGACTGCGCCGACACCTGCCTGCCGCGCTCCCGCCGGCCCGACCCCGCGCCGCGCCGCCGCCCTACTCACCGTGACCGGGCGTCCGTGCTCGGGTCCGTCGGCGGCGTCCAGGCGCTGAGCCGCGGTGGGCGCCGGGGCCGGAGCGGTCGGCTGCCGGTGCTTGCCGGCGCGCTTGGCCTTTGCCTGGATGCAGCGCTGGTGGAGCGCAAAGGTGTGCTGGCGTTCGAGCTCCAGGCGCTCGGGAGACACGGCCTCGTAGCGGGCCTCGCAGGTGCTGTGGTGGCGCCGGCACAGCTCGATGCGCCGGCGGAGGCGCTCCATGACCGCGCTGTGCCGCGGCAGCGCAAACTCCGCCATGGGGCAGGGGGGCAGCACCATGGGCCGCAGGCTAAGCGGGCCGGGCCCGAGGCCGGGCCTCTCGGGGCCGGCTGGTAATACGGGCTCCACTCCCGCTGGCGGCCCCGGTCTGCCTCACGGCAGGGACATAGTCCCGCACTCTGCAGAGCCGAGTCACACTGCAACGGGCAGCAGCGGATCTATTCTGTTCTGTTCGGCCACCCTTGAGCCAACGCTCACGGCCCACTTCAGGCTTCGGCCTGTCCCCGCCGACCCGGCCCTATTGTTTTCCGCGCCGCTTCCGTCGCCATCTTAAAATTGTTTTCGAGCTCTCGGAACAGGGCGGAGCCTCAACCAGACTACGGGCGTCAGAGTTGAAGAGCAGAAATTCGGACCAATCAGAGAAGTAGCTCCAGCCACAGGCTGGTATCCGGATAGGCTCCCGTGCGGTATTTAAAAGGAACTTAGCGAGGGGACGGAGGGAACTCCGCGGGGCGGACCTCAGCCAGGAGACTGAGCTCGTAGGAAAGGCAGTGACTGTAAGCTTTCCCCGACCAAGAGGCAGGCACTTCCGGGTGTTCCGACGTAAGCGGGCGGGGGAGGAATAGAGAAGGGTGGCCTGACCGGACAACCGCCTGGAAATACTGTTTCACCAGTCTCACATTTACGCTCAGTTTTGTTAAACTCAAGTAGTCACGTCGCCGTTTTCTTTGATCTTATTCCTTACATCCAGCCCTGTCATCCATCAATCAAATGAGGTGCAAGTTTTCTTTCGAACCATTATCAATCACTGGGGCTGTCAATAACCTATTCATAAAACTTTAACATTTTAAAAAGCCCCCTTTTTAAAAAAACCAATGTGAGGAAGCCGACATTAGTGGCGATTGTTAACGTGCCGTTGAGGACTCCTACAACAGCTCTGAACCTTGTTCTGAGCCAACCTTATTGTCTCTGATCCATCTCATTGAGGGTCTTCCTCTCTTGCGCTGTCCCTCCATCCTCCGAAGCATGATGTCCTTCTCCAAGTACAGGTCCCTCCTTGCAACATGTCCAAAGTATGTCAGACGGAGTTTCTTTCTTTTTTTTTCTTCTATAAATATATTTTATTAATTTTCATAAACATTTACAGAGATTTTGGGCTTCCACTCATTCATTGTTGCACTATTCTCTCTACCCTCCTCCCAGTTTGTTCTTGTCCAAATGCCACAGTGCTTGTCAAAGCCAGTTCTGATTAATCTTCTTTGTCAGTGTGTCCTTTGCCATTCCCTATCACTCCTCCCTGAGAGAGACTTCACCCTGAGTCATAAGGAAAAGGGGATGGCGTATTCTCTTAGCTACTTCCTGCTGAAAAGGGACGCTGTGGGTTTCAGGGTGAAGATCTTCTCTCACTACTCTAAAGGGCCCCTTTGGCAGTAGGAAACACATAGACTATTATGGAGATTGATTTTGGAATTTAGATGCACTCTTATTGATTGTGCTTGGCTGTAAATGTTCATATCCTTGAAGATGTATCATGGGGGTGTTGCAACCTAGAAGACACAAATTTGACTAACAAGTTATAAGTACATGAGTCCAAAAATTATGGAAAAGTAAAGATTCTTTCATTGTTTTACAAACCCTCCCCCAGGTCCCCTCCACCATGTAGCCCTCGCTCTAGTCTCCTGTGATGACAGAAATACCCAGTTATATCTCTCTTTTAAACGGTTCTCTCCCTCCTCTGTTTCAGTGCAGTATACATTATTGAACCCATCTTACTCAGTCTCTCCCCAACCCCAAGGACAGACAGACCCATTCTACAACAGTGGCATCATGTAATATTTGTCCTTTTGTGACTGGGATATTTCACTCAGCATAATGTTCTCCAGAGTCAACCATTTTGAATAATATTGCATGAGTTCCTTGTTTTTTAATGCAGCATAGTATTCCATTGTGTGAATATACCACAGCTTCTCTAGCCATTCGTTTGTTGATGGGCACTTAGGTTGTTTCCAACTCCTTGCTATTGTGAACAAAGCTGCAATAAACATGGGAGTGCATATATCTGCTTGGATGTCAGCTATGCAGACGGAGTTTCAGAATCCTTGCCTCCAAGGAGCAGCCTAGTTTAACCTTCTCCAGGTCAAACCTGTTCTTTCACCCAGCAGTCCATGGTGTATATTCAATACTCTTCCCCAGCACCCTAGCTGAAAGGCATCAATTTCTAGCAAACCTAGTCATTGTCCAGCTTTCTGATGCATAGCAAGTAATAGGAAGACTATGGCTTGGATCAGGCAAACCTTAGTGTCCAGACTGACATTATTGCTCTTCAGTACTCTGGAGAGGTCCCTGACAGCCAACTTTCCCATTACAATTCGTCTCTTGATTTCCTGGCTGCTGGTAGCAAGAATGTTGATGTGGAGCCAAACTAAGGCTGTTAATAATCTCGATCGCTTCACCATTTATAATGCTGCTGCCAGTGGGCCCAGTAGTGAGAATCTTTTTCGTGATATTGACTTCATATTGAAGGCTGCAGTCCTTGATCTTCTGCAGCAGATGCCTCAGGTTCTCAGTTTGGGCAAGCAAGGTTGGGTCATCTGCACAATAGAGGGTGTTAATGAGTTTGCCTCCAATCCTGATGCTACATTCCTCCTCAGAGAGCCTTCCAGAAACATCTGTTCTGCATATAAATTGTAAAGGTATGGAGATAGAACTGGCGTACACCCATCCCCATTTTGAACCATGCAGTGTTTCCTTGCTGTTGTGACAACTGCCTCCTAGTCCAAGTTTCACATAAGCACAAGCAAGTGTTCAGGTATTCCCATTTTTCTGAGTTAGCCAGTTTGTTGTGATCCACACAGTTGAATGTATTTGCATAGTCAAAGAAACAAGACATTCCTCTGGTACTCTGCTTTCAACAAAGTATCCCTAGTACCATGGCCTCTTCAAAACTCAGCTTGCCCTTCTGGCAGTTTCCTGTTGATGTGCTTTCTCCGTTTTTGGCTAATTTTCAGAATCTTGCTTGCATGTGATTATTAATGATATTGTTCAATAATTTCCACATTCCTTTCTTTGGAATGGGAACAGATATGGATCTCTTCCAGTCAGTTGGCCAGGTGGTTGTCCTCCTGATTTCTTGGCACAACTTGGTGAACTAACTATGGGCAGCATCTGTTTACTGAAATATGTCAGTTGGTATGCCATCAATTCCTGGGGTTTCATTTTTAGCCAAAATGCAAAAACTGCATTAAGGATAGGGTTGCACAGCTGATTAATGTGTTTGCTGTGAAGTTGTATACCTGTAAAATGTTAAACAGGTGAACAGCTGTCAGTGCAAACTCAACAGATTCTGTTACAGGGTCATGATTTCATAGACATTCCAGTTAAGTGGCAGAGTGCTTTAAGTTTTAGAAACTTGCAAACTGCAATCTAAGATATAACTGGTCTCTCTTCAGCTAGAACAGGGAGAAAATGTAATGTACTATCTCCTTTGCCATGAGAGTAGAACTGGATAGTGTCTGGCTAATATTAGTATTTTGACCAGATCCTATGAAATACAGATCAAAAAGTTTCACATTCTCATGGTTGTTGTTAAGTGCTGTTGAGTCATAGCGACCCTATGAACGAGAGTCCTCAACACTTGCGTGCATGACTTTTGTTTCTTCAGGTTCACATTCTCATGGACTCTTTATTTTATGGAGCTACATAAGTTGGGAGAACACCTGAAAATATCCCCAATGTCTTCTAAAAAAATCAGTCGCTCGGTGCCATGAAATCAATTGACTCACTGCAACCCTGTGAACAACAAACGTGAGCCTTATGCTAGCCTACACCATCCTCATGATCTCCATCACGCTCAAGCCTGCTGTGGTAGTCACCTGTATCCATCCATCCATCTAGTGTAGATCTTCCTCTTTCACTAACCTTTCCCAGCATGATCTCTTGTGAAAATATATCCAAAGAAAAAGTTTCAATGTCTTTGCCTCTAAAGATCACTGTTTGCACTTCCTTCAAGACTGACTGGTTTGTTTGGAAGTCCGTGGGCTATTCAATGTTCTTCACCAACATCACAATTCAAAGGTATTGATTCTTCTGTTATTCCTGACATTTTCAATTCACAGCAAGCAACTGAAGACCTAGATCAGGCACACCTGAAGTCTTTGAACTAATGCCCCTGCTCTTTAAAACAAGAGATGCTAATGACAGATTTTCTCAATGCAACACATCGTTTGATTTCTTGACTATTACCATGGATGGTAATTGTGGATCCAAGTAAAATTAAATCATTGACTTCAGTCTTTCTCTCCATCTATCATGTTGCCACTTGGTGCTGTGGTGAGGATTTTCCCCCCTTGAGATGTTAACCACATGAAAAGGCTGTAGTCTTTGATGTTCTACAGCAAGCAAATGCAACTAGAGAACCTTAAGGGGACACTGAGTTTAATACGGAAGAAATGAGAAAGGTTGTAGAATGTAAAAGAAATGTAATCAGTGTCACAAGAACAAAAAAAAGGAATCCCAAGAGATGCATCATTGAAAACCACAGGTGTCATTCCTTCCTTCCTTGAAGAAGGACATTATGATTTGAAGAGTGGCTCATAGGAAATACGGACTCTGGATGAAACAGACTGATGCAGTTACTGTGGAAAGGGGATCAAGTATGTCAAAGACAGTGAAGTTGGTTCAAGATACAGCAAGGTTTACAGCCACTGTTCATAGGTTTGCATGGGTCGTATAAGCACTTAACAAGTATTTGAAAACTTAGTGATCACTTAAGTCTTAATATTACCCATAATCTGTTGGTAACATCCTGTCTATATTTCATAATAAAAACAGACAATACCAAACCACAATCCAGTAGAAAAGGAAGAGTGAAAATTTAAAATAAGTATAAAAGACTTGTTATGTGATAAAGTTAACAATTATTATACAGTCCATGAGGTTTCTGCCTATTAGCAGTCTCTTGCAGAGGCCAAGTGAAGAACTTCTGACCCATTACTGGTCTAATCCATAGGAAGTTGTGCTAACATTAATGCCATTTCTCTCTGGCAGTTCAAATCCACCAGCTGTTACATGCAAGGAAAAGAAAAAAAAAAGCAGTTACCTCTTGTGGGATTCACAACCTGGGAAACCAATTCAGGGTCAGATAGAAATCAACTGGTTCTAACTTGACAGCACTGAACCTAACTCCAAGACTAAAGATGCATGCCAGAGACAATGCACGAAGCAGTTCAGTCATAAGACACTTAACTGAGGGTTTTAGTACAATACCATTTAGTAATGTGATAAAACCACCAACAGCATAGAGCGAGCGAGAGAGAGCAGTTGGCCTAGTGGACAGAAAGCCATGCTTCCGAGCCAAAGATGGGTGACACTACTCTGCGGCCCTCAGGCTTGCCTTTAATTGTTTTTGGTGAAACATTCTTCTAGGTTGTGTAACCCTGGTATGTCCACTTGCCATACAGAGGTAACTCGTGGTTGCTGTGAAGCTGAACACTGTGACACTAATGTGTCAAAAGCGATAATGGTTACCCACGGTGGACAGTGTTTGGTGGAGCTCCCCAATTAAAACAAGCTTGGAAGCAGGAGTGTCATCCACTTCCACAATAGCTTGCCTTGGGAAACCCTATGAACCTGGAGAAAGGATGAAAGTCATATAGGAGGTGCCCAGGACTTTCGTTCGCTGAGCAAACACACACACAACCCAACAAACCAGCTCTGTGGTTAAACTAAGAAGCCATTTTATCAGTGGGCATTTTACAATGAAACAACCAGAATATCAAATCCGAAGTGCCTTTTCAAAAGCTGCAAACTACTGCTGTTGGTTACTCACTGGTGTCTCAGACATTATTCCGAAGAATGTACCCTGAACCAAGCAGTCAAACAGAAGAAAAAGCTTTTTGTTATTTTGAATTTTTTTTTAGGGGAGGTGGTACAAAGATTAAGGAACATTCAATGACTTAACCTATTATCCCACACATCAGCAGGAAGAAACAGTGAGGCACTGTAAATGAACTTCATTTTATTACTTGTTTGTGTATCTTCAAATCGGATCTGATTTGTACAGGAGAGCATCTAGTGGATTCAAACCACGTTATCTCTGGGATTGCAGTACAGCTTCTTGCCACTAGGACACCAGAGCTCCCCTGTAAATGAACTTTAATGCTACTGTGGAGACAACTTCCAGATATGCAGTGATTCCACACCCTTGCTTTAAAGAGAAATCTGCAGTCATATTTTCAGATCTCGCTAAGTAACTGTTTATTTGCACTCAATACATTTGGGGAAATCTGTTACATAGCTAAGGTCACTGTGACCACAGAAAACAGATGAACAGGATAAAGCACTGAACAGCAATAAAGATGCATCCCATCCTTCAAGAATTTAGATGAATCAGTAAAAAGATTGACAATGAACAACACTGACAGATAAAGCCTTCATCTTTTATGAAATGTCCTTCTTCAATATAAACACTCATGAGTGTTTATATATTCAGTGCAAGGAACAGCATCATTGGTACACTGGAAACACTTCTGATGGAGGCCAAAAAAGGGAGAGGGGGGAGAAAAGCTAAAATAACATTAATTCTGAATACATTTCAGTGTGGTGTAATATTATTATTATTACATTATATTGGTGGGGAAGAGGCTCTGATAGCACCCATCTACACTCCACATAAAAAAAAACAGACCTAAGATTATAAAAAAAAACCCTACAAGCCACATACTTGGAAAAAAATATCTGAACAGGATTGCTTTATTGTGTAATTTAAGACACAACTGTTACATAACTGCAAACAAAGAAGTGGAAGATTTAGCAGCTACAAAAATCAGGTAGCTCATGCCATGTTGTCACTCCATCCATGAATGCTTTTAGCCTGTGTTCAATTAGTCAATTCTGAATTAGCTTGCCTCTGGATTTTAGAAGTCTTTACAAAGAGTAAAAGAATGGATACAAATTGAAGATTGTAGTCTATCCGGTACTTTAACCCTGGAAAGGTAGAAGTCTGCTTAAAAAGAAAAATACACATAATCACAATAAAGCTTAACACTATGCAGAGTTTTATAATCATTTTCGGCAACGGACAGCAAGTTGTGCTGTGAAATGCATAGCAGAGGAATGTTGGGAATTTGGGGACATAGGTAAGGAAACAGTGTCAACACAGTGGGAAAAGTGATTAAAACACATTTGCATCTACTCCAGAGCTCACATGCCCCACTAGCATTCTTTAAAGTCACCTGTTGGAGAAGGCTGAGATCAGACATCCCTGTGTGTGAAGTATAAATGCCCCAGTACCAAATAAAGCCATCTCCTCCACTAATTGCAAAGCTGTCTGAGAACTGAGTAGTTCCAAGGGCAACAGAATATACGCACATTTATTATTTAACCAACATCAAATAAAAGGACTGTTGGTTTTTATTTATTTATTTGTATGTCTCTTTTTAATACAACTTAAAACAGAATCTCTGGAAATTTGGGCTTCCTTCCATCCAATCCTTCTCAATTTTCTTAAGAGGAACTGAGTAATGGAAGCAAGGAAAGCAAGATCATAACCATGAAAGACTGTACTTTAAACATGATTATCAATTTTAAGGGACAGAGACACATGAATGTTTTTAATACCAAAATAAAAAAAAAAAACAACCCACCAAACTTATAAAAACTGTAATTCATTCTCCTAGCATTTCTAAATGTTGGTGTTATTTCTGTATGGACAGATTAATATATTAAATTAAGCCAAGATTTTAAAGATTGGCAAAGTTCTATCACTCTATTTAAAAAAAAAAAACAAACCCAAAGATGTTTAAAAACAAAAATACAAGTTAGTTGCTTCATGTTACACTTTACAACCATAATGTTAAATGCTTTCTAAAAAAACAAGGTCTCTTCTGTCACAACTGCAATTGTTTACTGCTAGATGTTCAAAAATACATGGGCTAGTGTTCAACTGGAACCTGTTGATGGTGATGTCTTGAGGTTTTTCTGAGTTTCAACCTAAGGTGTGCCAGGATCTTCCTAGGACCACACTTGCGGGGAAAGGGGGAGAACAGGAAATCACTTATGAAGTTCTTAAGACTGTTTCACTCTCTTCGAGGCTTTCTGTTTCTTGGTGATCTGTTCAAAATTTCATCCTCCTGTTGATTGAAAATTAAGAAAATTACTGCAAATAGCAGATGCTTTAAAATAAAAATTTATTCCATTTTAAGATAAATTGAGCAAAGAGTAAACCCTCAGAAGAAAACGTAAGAAAACTGATTAGAAGGAAAAGCATCAGAACAAAAATCAGATCTGTTGTATATCACTTATATCTTCCAAGAATATATACATAAAAAAATATAGAATTACACTGTTCTATTTACAATGTATTCAGATTTGCTGTATCTTGCTAATTTAAGAATTCAGTTTTGTTTCACTCCAGACGAGACATGTACTTTCCTAAATCTAATCCATTACTTTAAAAAAAAAAAAAAGCTTAGTGTTTTTACGTGATACCTTGCTTGATCTTTGCAATCTCTTAGCCTCTGAGCACACTAGTTTAGTGGTAAGGAATTGTACTGCCAATGCAAAGGGTACAATGTTCCAACTCTACCAGCTGCTGAGCAGGAGAAAGGTGGACAATCTCCTCCCATGAGATTTACTGCCTCTGAAAACCTGATGGGAGTTTCAGCTATGGGTCTGCTGCAGCTTGACAGTATACAACAACAATGAGCACATTATGCCTGTCTGGACTGAAGATTATCCAGAGTTCCATGTAATACTCAAGTTCTCCTTTTCTACTTCTTTACTCAAATAGTTTGAGTGATGTAAAAATGTGAGAAATGGTCCCAACCTTTAAGAACTCTGCATTCTAGTTGAGACAGAAATATAAACAAGGATGCAAACATCAATGACCTTTAGCAATATGATGTCAGCTTTGTGGTAGTTGGTAACACAACTGGAAACTTTACCATCATACCCAAAGAAAGGTTACAAGAGAAGGGAAAAGGAGAGCTCTGGTGGCCTAGTGGCAAGGAGCTGCAACTACAATCCCAGAGGCGAAAGGTTCGAATCCACCAGATGCTCTGCTGGGGAAGGAGGGACAATCTCCTCCTGAACCAGTCAGATCTGATGTGACGATACACTCACACAAAAAGAATAAAATTTTTTTTTTAAAAAAAGGAATGCAAAGGTATAGACATTAGTAACAGCTTGGGAAGACATTCACCTGGAATATTAAGACAGAAAACATTACAAGTATCTTCTTTCTTAATAAGTAATGAATTTAAAATGGCACATTTAGCAGAAAACCTTCATGGCAGACTGGGTCTGAACCCTGAACCCATTAGCAACTCCACCCTTCTCCTATTCAAACTAAAAATCATTTGATTCCATTACCAATTACTATCACAAAATCTAGAACCAGAGCTCAACCAGTTCTCATTCTCTCAACACACCTTGTTCAGAACAAATATATCCAAGAGGTTCGTCATGGGTCTCCCCGATTCTACACACAATACTTCTGAGAACACTTAGCAGCTAGAATGGTAACATTCCATCATACCTCTGTCCAAAACTCTGTGGTAGGTACTCATTTCGCTAGGAGGAAAAACCCTACTAGTCCACTCCCTCCTCCACTCTACAAGATGTTCTGGGCCTTTTGTATTACTCCTTGGGTGTCCTCCTGGTTTTTCTCCTTGCCACAACAACTCTTCTCACTGAGGTCTCTCCAGAAAGTCCTTTCTCTCCAGAAAGTCCCTTCTCTCCATATCTGTTCAAATATCACCTTTCCATAAGGCATACATAAACCACCATCAATACCTTTTCCTATCTTTTCTTTGCCCCACACTCAACTTATTTTTGAAAATGTTAACTGCTTATTTTCTGCTCCTTTTTTTTTTCTAAATTTATTTTATTTCATTATTTTTTGTGTGTACCATCAAATCAGATCTGACTGGTACAAGAGGAGATTGTTCCTCCTTCTCCAGCAGAGAGCATCCATCTGGTGGATTTGAACCGTGCACCTCTGAGACTGTAGTTGCAGCTTCTTGTCACTAGGCCACCAGAGCTCGCCTATTTTCTGTTTCTTGTACTAGAATTTAAGCTCCCCATCCAACTCAAAACTTCCAATCACTGAGTCAATTCCAACTTTCCATTAGTTTTCCAAGGTTATAAATCCTATATGGAAGATGGCTTCATTTTCCTCAGAGAAGCTGGTGAATTAAAACTGTTAGCTTTCTGGTTAGTGGCCTAACATACCATCAGGGTTCCTTAACTTCTAAGCCTAAATACATGTCTGTCTCCTGTCCAAATAAATACTAAACCAGGGAAGAATGCTCATCGCATGCACACACAAACTCAACAAGTGTTTTGTTAAATGAATAAATCAATCTGTAGTCAACAGTGATAGATATTTTAGACTACTATGACTTTTTTTTTTTTTAAAGTGTGGGTTAAGGACATAGTGAGCAGAGGTAGATACGACAACACTATGCCAAAGTAACCCTAAATTCCCACCTTACAATTACTGGGAATTAGTTACAATTGTCTTTCAAGAAAAAAACCCCAAACAAAGAAAACTTTATTCTTTGAAACAATTTTTGGCTTAGGAAAAATACTAATTCAGGTGCTGTGCTTTTCTCTGGCAGTACATATACTAAAACTGGAGTAATACAGAGAAGATTAGCATGGCCCCTGAAAAAGGATAATACACAAAATTTGTAAAGCATTCCATTATTTTTACTTCATTTGTAACATCACAATCTTCCCTGGTTTTCAGAATTAAGACTGTGCTTTTGATAGATACTCTAATACAAAAAATACTTGATTTTTTTTTAAAGTCCGGTGTTGCTTTGAAATGAATCTATACTGGCCTGCATTTGTAAGCCATAATTGGCTCTAACAGGGTTTTACTGCCATAGCCACTGATACTCACTATGAACATCCTACTAACTTAGCTTGAAATACATATATTTACTCTCTTTTACCTCTGCTTTAGGTTTTCTATCTTCCTCCTCTTGACTGCCAGTGCCACCATCTTCTTCAGCATCACTTTTTTGTTTCTCTTCTAAAGTGGAAGATAAACAACTGAAAAACCTTACACTATGTAGAGGGTGGGACACATAAACAATGGTACAGTAATTAGCCAAGTAACATAGAACATGTCTCTGGAGTCTGAAAGCAATCTTTGGTTTTGAAACAAGATCTTAGAGTCACAATTTTGAAAAGCTGACTCCTTACCAAGTTTTTCTTCACCTTCTTCCTCCTCATTTCCCTTGTCCTTTTCCTCCTCCTTTTCTTCTTCTTCCTCCTTCACATCTGGTTGAGGAGCATCAGTCTTCTTGTACTCCACAGCACTAGACTGCTTCTGAAATAATCTCCAAAGTCAGCAACTTTGTTCACATTTTTATGTACTACATCACTGACTAATTACAGAATGCCTATCGTATAAGACCTCTACTAGGCTACATAATGGGGGAGATATATAGAAATGAGCAAGAAATCATTCCTACTCTCAAAGGACATTTTCTTTTGTGAACTGACAAAGCAGTATAAAAAAAACTCTGCCTGGGACTACAGCTCTATATAGTCAGGTTAACTGGGGTACAGATACTCAAGAGTGGTGGAAGGCAAGCGGCTGTGGATCCAAATCCAAGGTGAAGCATAAAGTCCATTTAATGTTCTTAGTAAGTGCCATTAAGTTGGCTCTAACTCATAATGACCCTTTACAAATATAGCCCTGTCCAACCCTGTGCCACCCTCAACTGTTGTATTGCTAGAGCCCATTGTGTCAATCGTCTTGTTCAAGACCTACATCTTCTTCATGGCCCTGATATTTTCATGCTCCCTGTTATCTTTCTCAGGGGACTGGCCCCTCCTAATAAAATGTGATATGAAGGTTCAGCATCCTTGCTTCTAAGGAGCATTCTGGTTATGTTTCTTCCAAGATACAGTGGTTTTTTGTCAGTTCTTAGTATATTCAATACTCGCTGCCAGCATGACAAATCAATTCAAAGGCATCAGTTCCTCTCTAGCCTTTCTTAATCACTGACCAACTTTGCAAAGTTACAATGGAGAAATACAATGTCTTAGATTAGGCACACAGTCACTCACACTTTTTTTTTAACACTCATGCTTTTTATAGCACCTTTAAAAAGGTCCCTTATGGCAGATTAATCCAGTGCAGTACACTGATTTTCTTTTAAACTAATTTTAATAAAGTTCACAGACTTAGGGTTTCCAGTCATTCATTGTTGAACTTTTCTCTCTCCCCACAACCAAATTCACTCTTCTCCTTGAAAAGAAAAACTTTCATTGTTATGAAATCCCTCTCCCCAAGTACACGCCACTGTGTAGCCTTCACTCTGGACTTCTGTAATAACAACTATACCCATTAACATATTCCTTTTAAACAGTTCTCTCCTTCATCTGTTTCAATGCAATATACATCATTCCTCCCCCTCCTTTTCTGTCTTCCCTCAACCCTGATGTCAGTCCCGTTTTACAACAGTGGCCCTATGCAATATTTATCCTTCTGTGACTGAGATATTTCACTCAGCATAATGTCCTCCAGGGTCATCCATTTTGCATATTTCATGAGTTCCTTGTTTTTCAGTGCTGCACAGTATTCCATTGTGTGAATATATCAGAGCTGCTCTATCCATTGTTTGTTGATGGGCATTTGGGTTGCTTCCAGCTCTTTGCTACTGAGAACAAAGCCACAATAAACATGGGTGTGCTACATTTATTTCTTGACTGCTGTTTCTAGTCACTAATTGTGTGTTCAAGTAAAATTAAATTCTTGCCATATTCCATTCTCCCCACCCTCCATTTATCATGTTTAGTACAACTGTGAGGGTATAAAGGTTTATGTACAATCCATACTGAGGCTATAGTCTTTGTTATAAGTTAGTACTTTAAGTCTTTTTTCCATAAGCAAAGTCATGTCATCCGTGTATCTCAAGTTTCTGATAAGACTTCCACAATCCTGACATCAAGTTCTTTATATCAGACTCTTCTCAAATCATTTGTTTAAGGTTCAGACTCACAAATATGGTGAGAAAGGATACATCTCCAACACAAAACTTGTTCTGATTTAAAATCATGTAGTATCTCTTGGTCTGCTTGAATGACTACTTCTTGGTCTATGTACATGTTCTGAAGATCATGATTTATTGCTTTAGAATCCCAAAATTCTTTGTAGTATTATAGCTACATTTATAGATGTACTGGGCAAATCTACAGTCAGGTACATCTCCAAATTAGCTTGAAGCCTAAGTGCACCTAATTTAGGCCATGGTCTTTTCTGTCACTTGCTATGTATCTGAGAGCTGGAAGGATGAGAGAATTGATGTCACTGAGCTGTGGTGTTGGCCAGAAGAGTAGTGAACATCCCACAGACTGCAAAAGGAACAAACAGGTTATGTGCTGGGGAAAGTACAGCCAGAATGCACCTTGGATGCAAGAATGGTGAAGTTTTGTCTCACATATTTGGACATGCTGCTATTCCTTGGGGAAGAATATCATGCTTGCAAGGGTGGAGGGTTGGTGAAAGATCTTCAACCAGATGGATTGACACAGTGACTGCAACAATGGACTCAAGCATATAGATGGTAAGAACAGCGTTGTTTTTTAAAAAAATTAATTCAGGTAATAAAGACCAAATGAGAAAACTAACAATAAAAGTATGATAGTTCTACCACATCTTTTTGGGAAGGGTGAGAATGGCAGAGAACAAGAAGTAAAAGATTAAATTACAAATCTGTAAAAAAAGAAACAGTAAAGTAAAAACCTGCTGTGCCCAGAAAGTTGGTTTTACATCCAAATTTGTTTCTTCCTCCACCCCTTTATTTGTACTGTCTAATTGGATCTGAATGGCATAGGAGGAGATTGCCCCTCCTTCAGCAGAGCATTCTGGTGGATTCAAACTGCACGCCTTCAGGACTGTATGTAGCACAGCTTCCAAATTTATTTCTTTTTTTAAAAATTTTATTATTTTGTGTGTGTGTGTGTACCGTCAAATCAGATCTGACTGGTACAGGAGGTGATTATTCCTCGTTCTCCAGCAGATCATCTGGTGGATTTGAACCATGCCCCTCTGGGATTACACTGCAGCTTCTTGCCACTAGGCCACCAGACCTCGCCCAAATTTATTTCTTAAGGAAGCAGCTGCTGACTACTGAAAGAGTATTTTATATGATGGTCTATCTAAGTAACACTAGACACTAAGAGGCTATAAAAGAAAATTTCAGGCTATCAGCCGAGCTGCTGTGGAACTAACCTGGCAGGAGAAAGGGTGGTAGGATCTTGACTGTGTTTACTGGGGCATTGCTGATTACCCAGGAGAGCACCTAAGGGCATGCCCCACTGGTGGGGAATTTGGTTGAGCTCTCTTGGGCAACACCAACTGCCCGAAATGAGCCAGCCAGCTGGCTTCTGTGAACTCTGCAGACCAGCCGGAAGCTAGTGGATTGGTGGGAATTTGACCTTGACTTTTCGGATCCTGTCGGATCCAGGACCCTGCTGGAGCAGGGGCTGTTGTGTGAGGGCACCTTCGTAAGTGCCACTAGGCAGGGAACAGAGAAAACCACTGGGTAGGAAACGGACAGCAGGAATTTGAGTAAGGACCCCAGTCGGGAGCACAATGAGACAGCAGAGGTTTGAGCAAGGTCCTCCAAGTGATTGGCCTACCCTTGCGATCATCCAACCCTTTGCCTGTCTCACCCCATTTGGCTCCACACCCTTGCCTAGACGTCTGGGCAATCAATCTGACTTTAAATGGGAGCACCTTGACCTGTTTTAGCAACAAGAGATTGCCCTAGCAGGCACTGAACTGACATTTTTCTGAAGTCAGAAAGTCAGAGAAATGCACAAGTTCGGTAGCTGCATTGATTGTCTTCAGATCAAGAATACATACCAAAGTCTCGAAGAAAGCAAACCATCCCACACAATACACAAAGCAAGATGTCACTCACAAAGGGCAACACAATAGCAGTGGATACCCTGAAGCCAGAAACTCTCATGGAACTTTCTGACACAGAATTGAAAAGAAGAACAACTGAATATATCCAATGGATCAAAGACAAACTTGATGAATTACAGGATGCTACAAGCAAAGACCAGGAGGAGTTCAAAAAAACAATGCAAAACATTGCAGAGAAAACAAATGAGGCATTAGAAGCAC